AAAAAAAAAAAAAAAAAAACCTTAAAAAGCACATTAAACGTGTGAGAGAAGGGAAATGTTAATTTATTTCTAAGCTTTTAAAATATTTCAAATTAGAAAGGAACCTCTTAGATAATCTGATCTAGTGGTTCTCAACCCTAGCAGCTCCAATGTTCCCTTGCTATATTTTGTAATGTACCACTTGCCATCCTGAAATGAACTTCAGAGTTAAATATAACCTACTTATACTTTCAAGAAAAGCAATATGATGTAGTTATCCTTCAGTATCTGTGGGGGATTGGTTCTACTGTCCCCCATCCTCCAAGGATAACAAAATCTGCAGATGCTCAAGTCTCTTATATAAAATGGCATAGTATTTGCCTAGAATCTTATGCATACCTTCCTGTATACTTTAAATCATTTCTAGGCTACTTATAATACCTAATATAACATAAGTCCTATGTGAATAGTTGTCATACTGTATGACAAGAAAAAAATATATTTTTAGTATAGAAGCAATTTTCAAAATATTTTCTACCCAAGTTTAGTTGAATCTGTGGACATGGAATCCACAGATATGGAGGGCTGTTGTACTAACTACATCATAAAGGAAAAATAAAAACAATTTATAATAAGATAGCATGCATTTCAATATACAAATACCTGGAAAAGATTATACTAAAACATATAATAAAGTATGAGATGCTTCTACCTATCTGTAGAATCACTGTTAAATGCAATCACTACAAACACAGACTCATATAGGTAGGTTGTGTTGGCAACTTAAATACCCGTGAATGGTACTGCTGACGTGCATGCTGGAAACTTCTCTGGATCTGATTTTCAAGTCATGAATAATTCATAGTAAAGTTCTGAACAAAATTAAACACCATCTTTCATCAATTTACAGTTGTTACATTCCTGTAAATCCAGTGTGTAATAATATTATAAAATCACTTTGTGCTTATGTGTGAATCAGCCCCAGCTAATTATAACAGCCTTTTCCACCTACATTCACATGTTGTATGGGACATTCAAAAGTTTTACAGATGCAGACTCATACTTCCATTCCCCCTTTATATTAATCCAAAACATGAAATCTACAAAGACTATATTTTTTTTACGTGAGCTGGGCTTGCATCCTTTAAAGATATTCAAAGCTTGAGCCTTCGAGGCTATTTCTAAAACCTATCACCTAAGAACTACAAGAGATTCCTAGAATGTAGTCTCAAAAGTGACACAAGTGTCTTTTGAATTATTGGGAACATTATTCTTCTTTAGTAGCATCAAGGCATGAGAACAAATTATTTTTTAAAAACCATTTACTGTGATCCCATGGTGATTTTCCCTTGCCTGGTTCCAGCCTCAGGAGTATAAAATGAACTGAGCTGGAAGAAAAGGACTAGCAGAGCCAAGGCAGCCATGGGGAGCAATGGGGGGGTAGGTTGCTAGGTTACCACTTGAGCCAATCCAAGTGGTCCCAGAGGGGTATCAGATACAGGACAGGTCCCTCTCTCTGGCCCACTAAGTTGAGGGCCCTCTCAAACGAAGGGGGTCAAAAGGTGGGGGAGGGGGCCCAATCACTCACACTAGGCACAAGTAAAGAAATGAGGCAGAAGCACAAAGGAACAGACAGCCCTGTATTTCTAAAACCATTCAAGTCTCCTTCATTAATTGGCTTCCCCCCAAAAGAAAGATTTCTTTATTAAGAAATACCAGAGAGTGAAAAACCCCAACACATACACATTTGTAGGCTCACACAAAAGTGCAGAGATTTACATATTAAATTGCATTTAAGTTAGAAAATAGATTTAAAAACAAAATACTTTTTCCCCAACAAGGTAAAGAGATTTGGTCAGTAGGAAAAGGAGTCTTAGGGGTAAAGGCAGGATGGTCAGGACAAGAAGAATGGAATTTAGCTGTTACAGTAGAATCCACATCTAATCCAACCCCACTCCTGGGGAAAAATGCAAAGGGGGAGATGATGATCTCAGCTAGGGCCAGGAGGGCCCCAGAGCCAAAAGAACAGAAATTCCACTGGCCCTCAGAGGTTTTGGATCAGAGCCAACCATCCTGGCCTGGAGAAGTGGGGTGGGTGCATAGGAAACATGAGGAATGGGGAGGAAGGGGAGAGTTGGAGAGAGTGTCAGCCATTGAAAAGATCAAACAATATAAACCCCTTTCCCTAGGGAAAGATCGATTATTCGATCTCTCCTCTGATTAGAGCTCAGACTAGGGACAGTCCCAGCTGCTACATAGTATTAATGGGACAGATCTTAAGGCCAATGTCTTAAATACAAAAGATTATATTATAAAGAAAAAGAAAGAGGGGAGGAAGTATGGGGAAGCAGAAACTTAAAAAAAAATCATTTTGCACTACACTAGAGATAAGAGATTTCCATTCTGATCCTTCCCATCAGAAAGAGAAAGCTCTTCTGAGTTGAGCTAAAGGACAGCAAGAGAGTAGCTGAGGTAAGTTGAGGGAGGAGAGAAACACAGCCTGGCCCAGGAGAGGAGATAGGCTGGGACAGGATGGGTTAAGTACTGACTAGAAAGGGGTTCATATGAGTGACAGGTTGACTGAAAAAATAACTTCCAAACTCTCCAGGTTTGGCCTTATTTTGAACTAACTAAAATCTAACTTTGAGAACAAAACTGACAGAGCCAGAAAAAATGAATGGGAAAGGAGAAGAAGATAGGAGAGGAATCTGATTCAATCTCTCTCCCAGGGTTTCTCTCAGAAATGCTAAATTCAAATCCTACTATAAGGAAAACAGGAAGACAAAAAGAAAATCTGGGAGCAGCCAAATTTCACTAATTCCGATTAACTGGGAAGAGTGAGATAGGAGTTGGTAAGGAGTCTTGATTATAGACCATTTGAAAAGAAATATATACCATCACTTGTAGAAGATCACTAATGAAATATTTCCAAGGGGAGGCCCTGGTGAGCCTGTTTAATGACCAAGACTCATTTGCAATTAACAGTGTCCATCTGCTTAAAAACAGTATCTTTCTTAAAAAAGAACTTGTTCTCCTAAGTAAATATAATCTCTCTACCCTCCTGGATCTTGTTCACACTGTATATTGCTTGAAAGTCTTTTTTCATAGTTCAGAATAAGATAAACTTCGGCCCAGAAAATGGTATAGATCAATGGAGAGTATGAATTTGAGAGCTATCTCTCCAACCCAAGGGTACCCTGGAAAATGGAAGTATGGATAGTAATAAGCAACCCCTTCCAAACCCCCCACCCACCCAACACACAAACACATTCACATCCCCACGGTGGTTCTTGAAATGGAAGGGGAAGGAGGAGGCAGGCAGTTTGCATTAGACACAGTTTAATCACCTTCAAATAGATTAAAAGTTCTGGTTTACACCCACCCACCCCAGTCCCCGTAAGTCATCCAGACAGGACCCTGGCTTAGAAAGAGAAAAACACAGGTGCTCTAGGAAATATAGCCACATATAATACATAAATCTTCTTCCCTGAAATAGTGCAGGTCCTCAGCAGAGCTGACTGGGGGCCACAGCCCACCCCCAGGGTGAAATGGCTCTGGGACTCTGCCGGTGGAAGTGCTGGAAGAGTGGGGCTTGGAGGAAGCCCCTGGTGTGGTTACCATTGCCCAAGTTGGGCTGAGGCCTTAGAGTGGGTTACCCGGAAGGGCAGCAGTGCTGGGCTTTCCCTCACTCAGCCGAGGCTTAATGGAAGTACTGGTTAGCTTTTTTGCTTTTTCTTTTTTTTTTTTTTTGAGGGGACATAGAGGGAGAGGAGAGGAGAGGAGAGCCTCTCTGTGCCTTGATTTCCCCATTTGTGCATTCAGGGCCTCTGCAGGCCTCACACACGGAGTCTGAGGGGGTAGTGTTTAAGTGAGCACTTGGGCTTCCTCTGAGGAAAAGGAACACCAAAGTGCAGACTTTTATTACTGCCATTCCAGCTCCTAATTGGAGCAAGAGTCAAAAGACAAAAAGTAAAATGGGCTAATGAGAAAGGAGGAGAGATGAGACAGAGAGTGTGAGGGGCTATGTTGTTGGCATCTCATCAGTTCTTACTGAGAATAGCGTAAGTATTGAAAAGTTTTTGAAGAATCTACAAAAAATGTAAATTGTTATCTCTACTATGACTACTTACATATATCTAGTGGGAAAAGACTGGAAGTTGGATATTGGAGAGTAGATGGGAGAGAAAAGAGAAGCTACACAAATAAGTACAAGTGGAAGGTATCTGCCCTATTCCTAAAAGGACTGGCTAGCAATGCTGGCACTTTGTGGCCAGTAGAATCCTCTAACCTCACTCTCTAAACCTCATCAATTCTGAAGGAACTAAGAACCCAGTTAGCAGTCCCTAGCCAGAGGTCTCTGTGACTGCCTCAGGACATGCAGCAGCTTAAAAGGACTTGAGGCAGTCTCAAGAATCTTTAGCCCCAGAATGGGACCAATGACCCCAAACAGGAGAGCTGAGATCTGGAGGGAAGAGAGGGGAGTCCAAGGAGACCTTGTGGCTGAGGCCATGGGAAACCAGTGCCAAGTCCCAAGAGACCAATTTGTATAGTTTCCAGAGGTGACTGACATCTTCTGCCACTACCTTGAGTCTAGAAATTTAAAAAAAGCTTGCAGCAATAAAATGCCAGTGTGCAATTGGGTGACTCAAGACCAAAGAAAAACAGAAAAAGGAACAGCTTATTTGTTCTCTGTCTCAGGTTTATCTTCTCCCCTGAAATCTCTCATAGCCCTAATTAAACACAAACAAAAGTCTCTTCCATAGCTAGGCTACTTCTCAGCTTCAACTGCCTCTTGTGGTGGCTCTGGGGGCTCTGGAGGTGGCATCTCTTCCGGAGTGCTGGTGTCCTCCGGCATCTCATTGGCATTCATATGCTCTGTTGGGACCTGAGAAGAAAAAGATGTCAGATTCAACACAAAGTTTTCTCCAAAAATCCAAATGTAGATAATCCACAGACACTGAACTCTTTCTCTGAAGTCCTTGACCACGGCAATGCTAAAAATACACAGCCACTATAGACAAACTCAGACCCAAGACCAGGCTATCATCTTCTCAGCAGAACACCTAAAGCTTATTTGAGTTCTATTCTTAACTGTCCACAATAGTTTGATACTGTAGACAGATGTTTCCACTATTATTCGTCATCATAATAATAAGGATGACAAATAATTAAACACAAACACATCCTTCACACCAGAATGTTATAATGTACTTGTCTAACAAGACCCAACCTAAGGGTTATCAATCCTGTTTCTGCTATAACACAAAACTCACTAAAATAGTGATTTAAATCAAAGAAGGTAGGATGTCAAATTATAGATATGGCTTAAAATGCCCTCTAAGTGATTCTAAAATACCACCCTCCCCCACATTCAACTGAGAATCACTAACATAGATTGTTATGATTTGGTACCAGACTCATCAGAAAATGATATTCAAAATGGTGACAATACTATATAAACATGAACTTCCTGCACTTTAAAAAGAAAATTCAAATTTTAGGTGTGGCAAAGTAGAGAACAAGATTTATCTCATAAAAATATTCACATTAAAGTAGGATCGTATTTTAAAACAAAGGTTAAATTTACTAAAAATCTATTGGAACTAATAAGTTCAGCAAGGTTTCAGGATATAAGATTAATATATAAAAATCAATTATGTTTCTAATACACTCCCAATGAACAATCTAAAAATGAAATTAGGATAGCAATTTCATGTACAATAATGTAAAAAATAAGGTATTTGTGGATAAATGTAACAAAAGTGCAAAACTTTTGTTAAAAAGTTTTCTGAAAAGTACAAAATACTATAGAAAGAAATCAAAGAAGACGACAGTCCATATTTTCTGGTGGTGGCTCTCTTCCTACCTGGCAGACAGCTGCCTTCTCACTATATCCTCATATAGCACAGCAAGAGTAAGAGAATGAGAGAGCAAGCAAGCAAGCAAGAGACAGCACTCTGAAGAGAGAGAACTCTGATGTCTCTTCTCTTCTCTCCTTGTCCTCCTCCTCATTTTTTTTTGCCAGACCAGGGATCAAACCCAGGGCCTTGAACATGATATGCAAGTACTCTACCAGAAAGTTACATCCCCAGCAGAAGACAGCCCATGCTAATGGCTCAGAAAACTTAATCTCATCAGGATGGCAATACTATACAAAATGATGTATAGATTCAATGCAATCCCATCAAAATTCCTGCTGGCTTCTTTGCAGAAATTAATAAACTGATCCTAAGACCAATAAGAGAATTCAAGAGACCTAGAATAGCCAAAACAATCATGAAAAAGAAAAATAAAATTGAAGAACTCACATTTCCTATTTTCAAAACTTACTATAATGTTAAAAGTAACCATGACAGTATGGCACAGGCATAAGAACAGACATATTGATCAAAAGAATAGAATTGAGAGTCCAGAAACAAACTCTCACATTAATGGTCAATTTATTTTTAACAAGGGTACTAAGATAATTCAAGAAGAAAAAAATATATAGTCTTTTCAACAATGGTACAGGGAAAACTGGATATCCATAGGCAAAAGAATGAATGTAGACCATATACAAATATAAAAATCAACCCAAAATGGATCAAAGACATAAATGTTAAGAACTGAAACTACAAAACCCTTATTAGAAAACAGAGGTTGGGCTGGCAGGGTGCCTAGCAAGCATGAGGCCCTGAGTTCAAAAACCCCAGTGCTGCCAAAAAAAAGAAAAAGAAAACAGAGGAGTAAATCTTCATGATCCTGGATTAGGAACAGTTTCTTAGATAGGACATCAAAAGCACAAGCAACAAAAGAAAAAATGACAAATTGGAGTATGTAAAAAATTAGGGGCTAAGAATGTTGCTCGGTGGTAGAACACTGCCTAAAATGCACAAGGCCCTAGGTTTGATCCCCAGCACACCAAAAAAATTTCAAGGGATACCCTCAAGAAAGTGAAAAGACAATCCACGGAATGGGGAAAGGTATTTGGAAATCATATATCTGGTAAGGGACTTGTATACAAACTGTACAAAGAACTCTTACAACTCAAAAATAAAAACATAATTCAATTTAAGACATGGACAAAGGATCTGAATAGACACTTCTCTGAAGAAAATATACATATGCCCAAATACGTACATGGAAAGATGCACGACATTATTAGTCATTATTGAGATACACAGAAAAATCCTGATGAGATACCACTTCACACCCACTAAGATGGCTAAAATCAATCAGATAATAAACCACCATATACTGCTAGTGGGGACAAGAAACTATGGAAAACAATCCAGCAGCTCCTCAAAGTATTTTATCCTTTTGTTTACATAGAGTTATCATATGACCCAGCAATTTCACTCTCAGGTATATAGCCAAGAGAAATAAAAGTATATGCCCATGCAAAAACTTGTACACAAATATTCATAGCAGCATTACTTACTATAACCCAAAGGTAGAAATAGCCCAAATGTTCATCAACTGGTGAGTAAATAAATAAAATATGGTATAGCCACATCATGGGATATTATTGCGCTACATAAAGGAATGAAGTAATGCTACGTGCTACTAAACATATAAACCTTTAAAAAATTATGCCAAGGACTCGGGATGTAGCACAGTTAACTCAGTGGTACAGCACCTGCCTAGCATGCACAAGGTATACATATATACATATGCATTACACTTAAATGTATTACTCATATATATTAGTCATATAACTAATATATATGACTAAGTGAAAGAAGCTAGTCATAAAATAGCACATATTGTATGATTCCATTTATGGGAAGCATATAGAAAGTGAAAAAGACAGTGAAAGTAGATTCATCGCTGTATAGGGATGGGGCTTAAAGTTTCTTGAGGGGGAAGATAAATGAAATGCTTTTAAGTTAATTGTGATAATCGTACAACTTTGTGAATAAACTATATCAAAGAATTATGCATTTTAAATAGGGACTGTGTAGAATGTGAATTATAGCTCAATAAACTCTTTAAAAAGAAAGTTCAAATAATATTTTAGGATTATATTTTATAAAGTATATCTTGAGCAGGATACCTGGGAGTTTCCAGAGTATCTGCATACTCCAGCAAAGCCCCCTTCTACCAATGTAATCACACGAGAAATTCCAACATGATCCTCTGACTTCCTCTTTACTTCTATAACTTTTATGCTTCCCTTATTCAGGCAGTTACTTCAACACTGAGCAATGGCCTGTTTTCTTGCCCCTAATCCCCACCACACAGTGAGCAACTTGAGGGCATTCGTCTTGTTCACTGGTGTATCCCCAGCATCTAGCACAATGGCTGGCACAAAGTAGCTACTCAAAGAAATGAATAAATCTTAATGTACTTCAAGGTCACAAAGAGCTGAAGGCAATGTCAGGCCAGATGCAGAGACAGGGAAGCTGAGGTGATAAGGATACAGAATCACCTATTATATTTCTATGCTGTTAAAGGTAGCCTACACACTATCACCAACTCAAACCAAAAGTAAAGAATACTTACTGGGCTCTGTGGCAAGAGACTGCTACTAGTCTCTTGAGTACTAGGAGGTCGACTTCCACTTTCCTCCAGTGGCAAAATACCCCTTCGATCCAGCACACTGAAGGAAGCAGGAGAGTTATCAAGGAATTAGCACTGGCTTTCACCCCTACATCCGCCCAGCCCACCGAACCTTGCCGTGTACATTGGAAAACATAAACATGTCCTTTGGCAATCTAGCCTGATCCTAGCATACATCTCCTATCTTCCATTCACTTTTTCTTCCACAAACCAGTGAATGTCACATTAGCCAGGGAACAAACGAATGAAATAAAAAACCAGCCCATGGTCTATGGTCCATGTAGACAAGGTACCATGCAACAATCCCTAGGAAGACCTATTTGACACTACAAGGCCCCACTCAGAAGAACACCTCAGACCAGGTAACAGGATGGCGTTGCATTGTTCATCTTAAGAGTCTCAGTTTATAATTTCTTGAGTACCTGGGGGGCAAGGGACCACACAGCACTTCACAGCAGTTCTTCACAATATTGCCATGGCTATAGGGATTCTGGACACGATTCTTCCCTGTCCATGATCCTTTGATCTGCAAGATGAAAGCCAAGGCTTGCATTATAAAATTATGCTGAAGAAATACATGTACCATGGGATAATGAGAAAAGTGAGGAAGTGGATAGTGATGGCAATGATTGTACAACAATGTGAATTTATTAAATGTCACTTAACTGTACATTTTAAAATAGTTAAGATGAGCCAGGCACTGGTGACTCATGCCTATAATCCTACCTACTCAGGAGGCAGAGATCAGAAGGAGCTCAGTTTAAGGGCCAGCCTAGGCAAATAGTTCATAAGTCCCTATCTCAAAAATATCCAACACTAAAAAGGGCTGGTGGAATGTCAAGTGGTAGAGCATCTGCCTAGAAAGCATGAGACCCTGAGTTCAAACCACAATACCATCAAAACAAAAAATGGCTAAGACTGTATATCTTATGTTGTATATATTTTATCACAATAAAAAAGAAATAAATATATTTCATGTATGGACAGAAAAAATGCTTAAAAGAGGGAGAGAAAAAGAAGATAAATTAATATTCATTATTTTTACTTAAGAATACACAGTGGCCAGGCACCAGTGGTTCATGTCCATAATTCTAGCTACTCAGGAAGCAGCGATCAGGAGAATCGCAGTTTGAAGCCAGCCCAGGGCAAATAGTTCTGGAAACCCTATCTCAAAAAAGCCCATCACAAAAAAGGGCTGGCTAAGTGGCTCAAGTGGTTAGAGTGGCCTGCCTAGCAAGTATGAGGCCCTGAGTCCAAATCCCAGTGTCACACACACAAAAAAATACACAACCTATAGTGGAATCAGCTGAGGTACCCAACAATCAATGAATGGATAAAGAAAATATGGTATATGTGTATGTGTGTGTACATATGTATATACATATATGTGTGCATATTTTATGTATTATATATGCAACAGATAATATATTCACACACCATGGAATATTACTCAACCATAAAGAAAAATGACATTATGTCATTTGTAGGAAAATGGATAGAACTAGAGATCATCACTAGAGAGCAACATAAGCCAAGCTCAAAAGGCCATATATTACATGACTTCATTCATTTGTGGAACCTAGAACTAAAATGATAATTACTATAATAATTGGACATGAATGCACATGGGAGACTGGGGGGATCAGTGGGAGGGGGAAAGGAAAGGATACTGAGGAGTGAAGAGGATGGAAGTACACTGCATATATACACATGAAAACAACACAATGGCACCCACCAAATACTGAAAGAGGAGGACAAAGGTGATGAAGAATGGGAATATAATGGTGAACTTATTCAAGGTACACTGTACACATGTATGGAATTATTATAATGAAATCCTCTCATATTATCAAAACATGATAAATCAAATATAAAAAATATTATTCTCAAATAAATAAGTAAAAATATATAGTATTTACATAAACATAAGAACAAGTCTAGATAAGTCCAGAAGACTATAAATTACACCATTAAAAAAGGTAATATCTAGAAGACAAAATTACAGGGATTTATTTTCTCTATTTTGCTCATCTGTATCTTCGGATTTTCTACAAAGAATGTGTATTAATTGGTAACCTTACAAAAGCAAGGATTTATCCAGTGCAGTCATCCTTCTCCATTCCATATCCAGAAGTATTAACTAGCCATTTTTTTTGGAGGGGGGCATTGAGACAGGGTCTTACTGTGTAGCCCAGGCTGGCCTCAAATTTGAACGCAACCATCATCCTGCCTCAACCTCCCAATTACTGTGATTATAGGCATGCACCACCATGTCAGGCCTTCAACTAGCTTTTAAGGACCTATGAAAAGTTAAAGATCTTGTGCCCACCCAACTTTTCAACTATTTCCTAAGCCCTACAGGCATTCAGCTCCAAACAAAACAGTCTTCCTTCCTTTCCACACATCTGATTTAATAATTTCCCACCTCAAGTTTCTGCTTGCCTCAACCTTCCATGCCCTGGAGACTTGGGTTCTCTAGCAGGTAACAAGAGAATAGCCTTTAGAGAAAAGAGTATGTGGTGAGGAGAAGAGAAAGTTGACTTACGTCTTCATTGGTTGTCTGGTTGAGAGCCACGAGGAAAGTGTGAAATCCAGTCAGTCCCACAACAGACCAGAGTGTGAAGAAGCAAATGAGGACTTCTAAAACAGTGAAGTTAGGTTAAGGAACATTGACCAGGAGACTTGATGCCTCAGTTCATCAAATCACACCACCTTTACCTCTAGGATCAAGTATCACAAAAAGTCAAATATTCATATATAGCAATATTCTAAATTCACTGGATAGATCCTTTTTGAAAAATAAAGGATTTCTGTTTATTCACTATGAATAAATTTCTAGCATCTCTAGTGTACTTAAGAGTTTGCCTATTTATTCATGATTGGTTCTTTGAAGGAGATGTTCAGGAAGGGGCCAAAGCTAAACAACGTTGGACACCACTGCCAATGGAAAATCCCATCAAAAAATAAACTTTATAAACAAAAAATTAGTGGGAAAGAAACAGGATGTGTTTTTACAAATCTCTTCTAAATCTCCACTCCAGAAATGCAACCAATGTACAAAATAAGACTTAGCTGTAATGGGAAGGTGGGCCTTCCAGTAAATGACACACTATGTATACTGAGGCAAAGTACAGCCCATTTAAGGAGACAGGGTTGAGCCTGAAAGAAAGACTTGAAGGGAGATAGCAGGACTTGGGGGTAGGAAGCCAAGAAGGGGCAAGGGAACGACCTCCCTTTAAGCCCTGGCCATCTTCCAGCCTGGTTGCTACCGCTAAAGACTATAGTTCATAATTTTAGGCTTTGGCACAATCTGATGTCTGCAAAACTAGTGGGAGAACTGCAGGAAGAAAACATGCTGGAATGTAGTGTAAGAAGCCTTCACAAGGACATACTGCCAGGGAAGGATATGTTCCAGGAGTTTCTTTCAACGTCTCCAGGAAGCCAATTTTCAAGGATTCTGTGAAATTAGGAGGAGGAGTAGAGAGAAAAATTAGTGACTTTAGTCAAAACTATAAAGCACCCCAGTGCCTACTCACTTCCTTCCCTATCCTGTGCTACACACTGGCAAGACAGAAGTTCTCACTGGGGTAAGAGTGAAGAGTCTCACTTCTGTGTTGGCAGTCTCATGACTGAGTTCACATTTCTATCTTTTTTGAGGGGGCAGTACTGGGGTTTGAACTCAGGTCCTCATGCTTGCTAAACAGGCACTCTTGGCACTTGAGCCACCTGCCATTCCAAGCACTGGACTAGAGTTGTACAGAAGCCAAGCACTGTGTCCCCTTCTTTTCTCAGCCCCCAAATATGGATACGTAGGGGGATAGTAATAGATGAAAGAAACCAAAAATAGTCCAGAAAAATTCTCTCTCCTTACTTATCTGTGTCTCTCCCTTGTGCCAAATCCAGCTCAGAGCTCCTCTTTCCAGGAAGCTATCTTGATCAAGACCACTCTCTTTACTCCACACCCCACCTACCCTTACCTTGTTTATATGTGTATGTAATATGTGTACATACACACACGTAAGTGTGTATTTCCTATCTCTCAAGTAGACCATGAGCTACTAAAAGGCATCTCTCTGGTAAAACCCCTTCTACCACCTAACTCAAGGTAGGTCTTACAAGGCAGAAGAGGAAAGGATGTGAAGAGGCAAAATACATCCCCAACTTTTGATCCTTCAGAAATGTCCAGTTTTCTGGATGCAAATTATTAGTTATGACTCCAGTTCCCAGCAGAGGGCCAGAGAGAAGGCCAATACACTCAGAATATACCTACTGATGTGAGCTGAGGTTTATAGCTCAGCTTACCCCCAAGAATAGTGCTCATTTCTAACTGATCCAGAGCTGTCTTCCTAATGGCAAAGTCCCACCAGAAACCCAAGCACCCCCCTAGTCTGCCCTCAAGTCTTCCCCCATCCCACCCCATTTCAACAACAGACACTGCCCTGTATACTCACTGAGAGCCACATAGACGATGTTGAAGGCGAAGACATAAATTGTGAGGAGGGAGAGAGAAAGAATGAAGAGGTAGAAGTAGCGGTAGTTCCTCTTTCCAACACAATTTCCCACCCAGGGGCAGTGATGGTCGAAGCGCTCTGTCGGAGAAAAGAGAGTCCAATGCCAAAGCCTCCACAGTAAGAGCAACCCCACCATCCACATAACTAATTCAAAAAAGACCCTAGGGTCATCACCTACTTCAGTTGTGTAAAACATAATTGCTGGGCTGACGGAGTGGCTCAAGTGGTGGAGTGCCTGCTTAGCAAGCATAAGGCCCTGAGTTCAAACCCCAGTATGGCCAAAAAAGAAATCATAATTGCTATTCTTTACTTTTTCAAAATGTTTTCATAGCCATATCATTTGATCCTCGCAATAATCTTGGAAGTTAGGCAAAAGGATATGCTCTTTTCCCTATTTTACAGATGAAAAAACTAAGGCTCTGCGAAAAAACTATGATCTGCCTTACTTTGCCAGTTAAGAGCAAAGGCATTGGCTTTCCAAACTAAAACCTTAGCTGGGCTGGGGGCACTACTCAAGTGGTAGAGTACTTGCTTAGCAAGCGCAAGGCCCTAAATTCAAATCCCAATACTGCAAAAAAAAAAAAAGCAGGTGGGCCTACTCAGTTCAGGAAGAATAATAAACAGGTGAAAATAGTCCAAAAAATTGAAAATTGAGTAGCATGATTTTATTTGACCTCCTTATTAAAAATATAAATCTGTAATATTCTTTTTAACTTTTGTCAGAGTCTTACTACATAGCCCAGGCTGTCCTCAAACTCACTGTATAACCCAGAGTGGTCTTGAACTCGCAATCCCCCCGCCTCAGCCTTCCAAATACTGGGATTACAGCCATGAACCACCACACTCAGCCCTCTATAAATCTACAATATTCTTAAAATGGTATGGCATAATTCAATGAAATAGAAAGAGCACAGAAACTGACTCTAGAACATATAAGAATTTACAGTTTAATAAATATGACATTATGAAAAGAAGTACAATTTCATGAACAATTCTGAGACAATTGGCTAATTGGTAGAAAATAAGGTTACATTGTTTTCCTCACACTATTTGTCCAACAAATTCCAGATAGATTTAAGAGTTATAGGCAAAAAAATTGAAATGACAAAATAATTATAAGAAATAGATATACATTTTTCCTCTATATGGAGAAGAACTTTCTAAGCACAAAAGTCATGGAAGAAAACAGAGAACAAAAAAATAGATCTGATTCCATGATCTTTAAAAATGTATTCCCAGGTCAGATGTGGTGGTGCACGCATGTAATTCTAGCTACGAGGGAGGTGTAAGTAGAAGGATCATGGTCCAAGGCCAACTCCCAGAAAAAGTGAGACCCTACCTAAAAAACAAACTAAAGCAAAAAATAGCTACAAGTGTGGCTCAAATGGTAGAGTGCTCACCTAGTAAGTGAAAGGCCCTGAATTTAAACCCCAGTACCACCAAAAAAATGATTTTTTTGTATGTTAAAAATACTACAAAGAGGCATCTTGGTGCTTAGCACAGGCTGTGTTCTTACATTGACTGTATTCAAAGAGAAGGCAAAGTAAACCTACCCCATATACACCTCAGCCCAGGCCCTGTGCCGAGTCTGTGTTGTGAATGGGGAGACATGGGGAAAAAAATACTACAAAGAAAATTAAAGAGAAAAAAGGTAATGTATATAAATTTGTACCTGATCATATGAGAAGTCCTTATAAATTTTACAAATAAAATATATATACTTCCTCAAGAAAATTATCAAAGGTTACCTGAAATTTACTGAGAGTAGATTTTAAGTGTCCTCAGAAATTTAAAGTTTAGTAATTTTTACTTTATGTGTTATATATGTAACATATAATTTGCTATTTCAAGTCTACAGTTCAGTGATATAAGTTGCACAGTATTGTGCAACCATCATCATTATCTAATTCCAACACTATTTTTACTAACCCAGATAGAAATTCTTTGCTCATTAAGCAACAATTCTCCACTCTCCTTCTTCCATACCCTGGCAACCTCTAATCTTCTGTCTGTTTTAATTTACCTATTCTAGACATTTATATCAATGAAATAATACAATATCTATTCTTATGTGTATGGCTTCTTTCACATAGCATGTGTTCAAGTTTCATACATATTGCAGCATGTGTCAGTATTTCATTCTTTTTATGAATGAATAATATTCCATTGTGTGGATATACCACATTTTTTAATCCATTCATTTGTTGATGGGCACTTGGGTTATTTCTACCTTTTGGCTATTATGAACAATGATGCCATGTACATCTGTGTATGAACATGTTTTGAATCCTTGTTTTCTAATTGTTTGGGGCTGAATTATGTACTGTACTTGAATTATGTATGCTGTACTTGGAAAAAAGACCTTTAAGGAGATTATTAAGATTAACTGAGGTTATAAGGGTGGGGCCCTAATCCAGTAAGACTGGTGTCCTCATAAAGAAGAGACACCAGGAGTGTGTGAGTGTGTGAAGACACTGCAAGAAGGAAATCATCTTCAAGCCAGAGAGGGGCCTCATTAGAAACTAACCCTGTTGGCACCTTGATCTTATACTTCCTAGCCTCCACAAACTGTGAGAAAATAAATTGCTGTTGATTAAGCCACCCAGTCCCATAGTATCTTGTGGCAGTAGCCTGAGAAGACAAAAAATGCTTTTTCCATAGCCTATTATATAAAAGTCCCATAATTTATTTGCCCACTCATCTATTGGTGGACTATTAAGTTCTTTTCAATTTTTCATTCTCATCATAATATTGAAGTAAACATTTCCATCCCTAAATATTTTTGTTTATTTTGGTTTGGATTTTTTTTTGGGAGGGTGGGGCAGCACTAGGGTTTGAACTCAGAGCTTTGTGCTTGCCAGGCAGGCACTCTTACTGTTTGAGCCATTCCACCAACCCTAAACCTTTTACCATATTTAATTTCTTCTCTTTTTTTTGGAGAGGGAGTTGAGACAGGGTCTCACTATGTAGCCCAGGCTGGCCTCCAACTCACAACTAGCAATCCTCCTGCCTCAGCCTCCAGAGTTCTGGGATTACAGGGATGAATCATCATGCCCAATGTCACATCTCTGATTTCTTAAGATAGAGTCCCAAAAAAGGAGTCACTGGCATCAAAAGGTATACATGTTTTAAGGCTTTTAATGAACCTTATTATTATGTTGTCATCCCAAAAGTTTCTCCCAATCAACATTCCTACCAGTACAGAGCTAAGCATTATCAGGTTTTCCTTGCTAATTTTGTAGACTTAAAAAAAGTATCCTGTTTTAATACTTCTTTCTTTGATTAGTAGGGATGAATATTTCTTTCTGCTAATTAGACAACTGTATTTCCTATTCTATGAATTGTCCACACACACTGTCCATATTTCTAGTAGAATGTTAATGCTTTTAAGAAAAAAATCTATTTGTATGAGTTCTTTAAATTTAAGACTATTAATAAGGAGAAGGAATTCTTTGAGGAACCTTCACATCAGACCTCTAAATATTGTTTCCTGGTCCATTAACAATGAATTTTGATTTATAAAATTCTACCTTTATATAGTTTCGACTATATAAAGTAAGATACATCTTCCCCTAGTAAGAGGAAAGCAAGGACTTCAGACAGGCTATATAGCATACAGAATGTTAGAATTATATCCAAAGGTAGTATCAGCAATGTCACACAAATGCCTAGCAAGAAGCATATTTACTATCAGTGTCTCATCTTTCCCAGGGTTCAGCCCACAGTAGGGAGTGTGTATAATGAAGCTACATATATGTGGATGGCAGCACAGGCCTATGTATTCTGCACACCTACACCAGCCATGCTTGGAGCATTAGCAGAGGCAGAAAAACTGAGGACTTTGACATCAGACCTGTTCCAGTATCATCTCATGCTAATTACACGAACTTATACAAAGGTGCTTCATTATTTCCTCATCTGTAAAATGGGGATAATACTTATTTCAGGGGGTTGGTCCAAGTCTTAAATGAGAGAAAGGGAAGGTGCTTAGCACAGTGCCTACCTAGTATGTAGTAGGAACTCAGTAAATGCTAGCACCTTTCTTTCCTCCTCTTGGGAACACTACTTCTAACATAGGCCTTCCTTCCTCAATACTGCCCTCCAGTGGACTAGGACACTCCTCCCCCTATGTAAGGTGGGCCCCCACATGACATGGATCCAACAGAGAAAAATTTCAAAAACATGGCTGGCTGGTACAGTGGCTCAAGTGTTAAGAGCACCTGCCTAGCAAGCATGAAGCCCTGAGTTTAAACCCCAGTGCTTCCAAAAAAAGTGTGAAGTTTAAAGCTTAGTTTCTCATTTACCAAAGGAGGCTGTTTTTTTAAACTTTTTAATTTTAGGCTATTTAAATTATGATTTGATCTACACAAGTACAGTTGATATGCTGTTGTTCAGAAACTTCTTTTCTTCCAAATCTAGCTTGTTAACCACCTGAATCTCACCTCCATTGACTTTTCCCAAGAATTGGTGACAACCCTGACCTGCTTGTTCAATTCAGCTTTTTCCTTAGCAAGGTCCCTTTGATTTTACTCACCCACACAGTTGTCACAGATGCTGCAATGGGAGGCCCGGGGAGGCCGGAAGATCTTGCATGTATAACAGTATTTCAGTTTCACAATCTGGTTGTTTATCTGGAAATTCTTGATACGAGGGGGTGGTCGCTGGCCCTGAGGCACTGCACCATTGGTAGCTTCTGTAAATCAATAAAGACATTTTGTTCACAGCTAGCCATTATTTGAGCCCAAAGTTTCACCACCTCTCCAGAAGCAACGGGGGTCATCAAAGATTCCCCATGCTCACTGTCTTCTCCAGGTGAACATTTCCAGACTAGAATTTCTACTTTACACGGTGTCTCCCAAAATTCCAGAGTGCCATGCAATTCTGTTATGTACACGTGAAAGTGTTTCTTCAAAGTTTGTTGTCTGATCACAAAGAACAGCATTCAAACATGCCAAAACTATAATAAAAACACTAACTTCGTTAATAATCAAAGAAACAAAAATTGAAGCACAAAGGTACCATTTCTACTTATTATATTCACAAGTATTAAAAAGAATAAAAATACCCAGTATAGGCAAAGATGGGAAAAGGTCATTCTTATACCCTTACCAATCAACAATATGGCAGCAGCTACTAAAATTTTAAATGTCTGTACTCTATGACCAAGTAATTCTACTACTAGTGGCTTATCAAAATTACAAAGATAGGGCTGGGGACTTGATTCAAGTGGTAGAGCACCTGCCTAGCAAGTGTGAGGCCCTAACTTCATACACCAGTACCACCAAAAAAATCTTACAAAGGTAAATGCAAAAGATGGTTATAGAAGGATATCTGTCACAGAGTTTCTTTTAATGATGAAAAACTAAAAGTAACTTCACTGTCACAACAGGAACTTGGTTAAGTAAATTATAATACATACAGAATGGAATATGACACAGTCATTTAAAATGATATAGGAAAATACAATTAGAATGCACTGCAAAATGAAAATGAGTATGTGTAAGAGGACAATAACTTGAAAAAATAAAATATATGCATCAAAATACTTAGAAAATAATTAGTAAAATAAGATATAAATAATTCATGTTTGCTGTAAAAAATTTAGAAAAAATAAGAGCTGGAGGTGTGGCTCAAGGGGTAGAGTGTCTGCCTAGTAAGCGTGAAGCTCTGAGTTCAAATCCCAGTACCACCAAAAAATAAAATTGGAAAAAATAGAAAAGATAAACAAGAAAAGATAAAAATCACTACAGACTCTCACCTCAGAGATAGTCATACATTTTGGTGTATTGTCTTCTAATCTTCTCAACAGATAAACATTCATTACTTAAAAAACTGAGATCATATAAATGTAACTTTGTATTATGCATTATTTATTTAACATTTTACTGTGAACACTCACCCATAGTTTTTACTGTTTTCTAAAATACTATTTTAGCAATATTCCATGATCTGCATATACCGTGATTTATTTAACCATTCCATATTGTTAGTCATTTAAGTTACCTCAAGTTTTTTATTATTTTAATGATGCTGGGGTTGAAGGCATAGCTCACATGACAGAGCACGGTCCTGAGTTCAAACACCAGTACTGCCAAAACCCAAGAATTAAATGATATTGCATGCAAAAACTTAACACATTATAAACAAAAGCTTAGATTCCCCTTTGATCACTCAATCTCAGTCCCTCTTCCCTTCCCCAAGAATATATTCATGTGTAAAAATTAATTTTTGAAACTGAAAGACAAGCATGGTGAAGTCTTAGAGTAATATATGAAGTTGCTAACATTAAAATAGCTATATTTGTATTAAAAAGACAAAATGATACACTAAAAATTCTTCTACAGTAATTTGTTTTAACTGTTTGATTATTTCTTTTAGCTAAATCCTTAAAAAAAAACTCCCATTTACTAGGTCAGAGGGTAATGAACCCTTAAAGTCCATGAGGGTTTAAGGATTTAGCAATAGCCAAACTGCTTCCCAGACAGATTGTATGAATTTGCATGCCTGCCCATCCACAGCTTATGAGACTGTCATCTCATTGCACCCTCGCCATGCAATATAATTCTAAAAACAGAACGTTTTTCGATTCACTTTGATTTTAAAAATATCTGCCATATGGAACATTTTTCCTTTTTTGCAGAGTGGGGTAGCTGCTGTGAAATCAAACAATAACAGTGTGTCACAAGTCTTAAGAGGATGGCGATAGCTATTCATTAGAGAATGATGTAAGTACCATCATGCCACCTTAATATTTCTTTGTATATGCTTTATATTAGGGCACATGTGAAACAGAGTTCATAGTTCACTCTCCCCAGGAGGTACTATGAGGCAAGGAAACACATGACTTCTTCTCTACCACCCCTTTACAACGTATCAAATACAGGGATGAATATAAGCTGACAAAAACTTGCTCACATAAATATGCATATCAACTCAAGAGCACACTCATTAGCAGGGTGCTGGTAGCTCATGCCTATGATCCCAGCTACTTGGGAGGCTATGATGGGGAGGATCATGGCTCTGGGCTAGGCCAGGTGAAAAAGTTTACAAGACCCCATCTCAATGGAAAACAGCTGGGCATGGTGGTACAAGCCTACCATTCCAGCAACTGTGAGAAAACTAACATAGGAGGATTGTGATCCAGGCAGGCCTGGGCAAAAAGTGAGCCCCCATCTCCAAAATAGCAGAACAAAAAGGGCTGGAGGCATGGCTCAAGTGGTAGAGCACCTGCCGTGTGAGTGCAAGGTCCTGAGTCCAAACCCCAGTACCGCCTCCCCAAAATACTCTTCTATGGAGAACAGCATACTAAATGCAGAGGTCACAATATGACAGCTTGAGTCTGGGCCACAGGCTCAGTGATAGGGCAAAAAGCAGCTAACCTTGTTGACAACCTGCTGTGAGATACTATAGACAAGTCAAGGTACTGCCTTGACCCTCAGTTTTTCCATGTGTGAATGGAAAGGGGTCTATAAGAGAGTAATTCTGATGAAGAAAACATAGCACTCACAACTCTCCCTTACTATGTTGCTCTCCCCAGGACTCCAGCTGTGCCCTTACAGCTGCTTTCTCCCCACTATTCCCACCTTCACCCCATCCCTATGCAGTTTTGGCTCACTTGTGTGCAAACCAATTTCTCCTTAGCTCAACTAAATCTGGACAAAAAATTTCAAAAAGAAATACACTAAGAAGGTGGGGGGAAACAGAACTAAAATAAACAAAAGAAATACAAAAGCATGGATGCCTTCAAAGCAGCCTGAAAGAACTAAATAGGTAGCCGCAGACTGGCGCTCTACCAACATAGCTTCTCAGACTTACAAGTCACTTTCTTCTACTCTATCTGGATTGGATGCTGACTCAAGTTACTGGGGTGCTAAACTTGAGAACCATTTAGACAAATACTACTGGTGGTCTGGTGGTCTCCTCACTCCCTCCTAGTACTTGTATCATAGACTTCTGTCACACTGTGAGTTCCCAGGATAGCCCTGTGATGTTCTGCTTCAATTTGTAAAGTCATTATGGCTCCAGACAGTGTAGCATTTCAGTCTCTGTCCCAAAGATCCCTACCCTGAGCTGCAGACTGCACAGTACTGAGCTTGAAATCGCCTCCTTTATCGCTCCTAGAATTCTATCGTGGTTTTTCCTTCTTACCCAATATGTTCCCCTAAAGCAGGAATTTTTGGTCAGGTGGCCCATAAATGTACTTCAGAAGATCTTTGAATCCCTGCAATTACATCCAAAATTGTATGTGTGTGCATGCATATACTATTTAATGGGGAAAAGGTTTACAGCTTTCATCAATAAATGTGTGGTGACACCCCCCTCCAAAAAAAGTTTTTTAAAACCATCCTTTTGGGAACAGTGCAGCCAGACCTTGATAACAAATCCTTTCTGCAATACAACCAAACATGGTCATTCATTGTCTTAGATTCAGGATCTCAGAGAGAAAAGGCTAGAATAGTAGGCTGTGAATCTGCAACTACTATTATGATTCCATTTCCTTACCAATAAGAGCCATGCACTACACAGTAGTTTGCCAGCTAGTTGGGAGACTCACCTATCTCCATTTCTATGAAAGCTGCTTCATCTGGTAGGGCCCGAGGAATCACTCCAGGGTCACTGAAACTGGTCCTCAACAAAGTAGCCATGGAGAAAAGGAAGAGCATGGCAGCAAACACAGGGATGGCAGGAGAGAGCTGAACAGCCAGGTAGCGACACCTGAAGAAAGCAAAGCAATTCAACATTTAATTTTACCTGCCCTTTATTGATCTCCAGCTGTTTCAAGTATGTACAGCTGGTCTCCACAACAAAATCAGCAGTAATCAAGGACAGGTACCATGCTATTTACTCCTCTTGATTCCCCAAACACATGCATGGTTCTGCACACAGTACAAGCTCAACACATACTAATTGACTAATGTCACCTATAACATACAAAGATAGCCTCAAGGCCTCCCTTACCCTCCCTCCCCAAGATAACCTATATCTTCTACCTTAGAAAGGGTTTACACCTGCTAAGGACAGGGAAGCAAATGAGCCTGGTTTTGCTAGAACCACAAGTTGCTCTTACTCTGGGAATGTCCAGGGCTTTTCATACCCACTCATCTGGCATTGGGACTAAGCTTGATGAGGAAGAAAGAAGAGAGCGGGGCACTGGTGGCTTATGCCTGTAATCCTAACTACTCAGGAAGCAGAGATCAGGAGGACTGTGGTTCAAAGCCAGCCCAGGCAAATAGTCCATGAGACCCTATCTCGAAAAAACACATCACAAAAAAAAGGTCTGATGGAGTGGCTCAAGGTGTAGGCCCTGAGTTCAAGCCCCAGAACCACCAAAAAAAAAAAAAAAATGGAAGAAAGAAGAGGACCAATCAGGAAGCAGGCTCATAGTGTCAGATAGAGGGTATCTCTGCATGCTTCCAGACCAATGGAAAGCTTCAGGGCTGCTGAATGATTTTGAAACATCCATTCCTCTTGTTTCCTCAATTAGCTCAGCTAGTAGGTGATTAATGACCACCCACAAAGGAATAAGAAGAATGTAGCTCCTTAGAACCCCTTCCCATCGCCATGTTCACTCCCCTTTTTCCTCATAATACACCTATTCCTCTCTAGTTATCCCAACTGTTCTCATCTTTCAGGTCTTGGAGACATCGTTGTTATCACTGAATTACTACCATATATAGAGTGTTTACCATAAACCAGGTATTGCACTAAGCTCTTTAAATGCTTTATCCCAGCCAATTCTCACATTGAAGCTACAAGGTAGACTCCCTTTGACAGATGAAAAATCTGAGACTTAGAGAAGTCTTTCCTCCTCCAAAAGGTCTATGCTAAGCAACACACTCCCTCCTCTCTGTATTATTTCTTAGCTCTTTCTCAGTATGTTGATTGAATCTCCCCCAACTGGACTTCATAAGAGCAAGAAACTGGTCTTAATGAACCAGGAATTCTTGGGTTCAAATTCTGGCTCTCCCAGTTCCCAGCAGGATGACTTAGTTAACACCAATCTCCTTATCTGTAAAATGAGGATAATGATAGTACGTTGTGTGGACCAAATGCACTAATATAAAGTACTTGACACACACAGTAAACACTAAGTAAATGTCAGCCTTAACATTATTATCATGATTCTATATTTCCTAGACCCTAATACAAGTAAAGGAACAAAAAAGCTATCAATAAATACTTGTTGATTTGAATTGAGTATCAAACCAAATGAATGGGAATATGTGATGAGAGTTATCACTGACCTATTTTTATCCTTCTCCTGGGGCACATTTCTCCTTGAAAATAGAGAGCTTCACTGGAGGCAGACTATAAGCGGATGAGTAAGGAACAGAAGGAAAGCAGAGAAAGTAAGCTAAGGAAAAAGCTTACCTCATCAGCATGGGGAGTAAGCAAATTGCAGTCTATTCAGGGCAAACGCTTAACCTCGGGTTGTGTATTTGCTGTAATTTTGGAACAACCCCCATGAGATCCTCCCCTGCCTCCCTCCCACATACACAACTGCATGAGGAGATGCAAACCAACTGTTATACTAAGCTAAGCAGTTTGAGAAGAAAGTGAACGTATGTGTTGAACTGCAAGATGATTTTAGTTGCTTTTTTGTTTGCTTGCTTGATTTTAACACAATCCTTGGTCTTAGCTTGCTTTTTAGTGACTTACTTCCTTCTCAAAAACCAATGGTAGGGAAAAAAAATCGAGAACTGAAGGATTTAGCAGCTGAGTTCAGGGTAATTGAGGTTCATGTACATCACTAGCTTATGGATTACCCTCCTTTCCATTGCTCCCCTTGACTGGTACACATAATCAAAATGTAAATTCAGAAATGAAAATCACCACCCCTTATCAGGGACTCCAAAGACACAGAAGAAGCATGGAGCTTTGTTTTATGAACAAGCCAAGTGAAATCACCACACTAACAGCCATCTTTCTAGTGACTGTCCATCTGTAAGATCACCCTTGAAAACAAAGAAGTAATGTCTTCAGGACTCAAACTGCCCTGAGAATACAGTCTCCAATCCAAAGCCTGAAAAAAAAATCAGAGCTATCTGATTACCACCAAGAGGAGTCTGTTTCTTTTTAATTAAAGAACAACATCAAAGAAAAAATTCAAGATTAATGCTGCCCCCTTGCAAGAAAGACCCAAGCTTAACTAAGTCCAGTTCCAACACCTGCTTGTAGACCAGACAAAGAACAACTTAGATTTCAATTATGCTACTCCATCAAGGATAAAGGTCTCTGTAATCTCCACACAGACTTATCTTCTGCACCTGCTAAAACAATCCACTCTGTATGTCAACAAGTACACAACAGACCTATTGTACTGTTCTCCTCCAGAGATGAGGCAACTAGCAGCCAATTGTCTCTAGTGAATGGGTGTGGCTAGAAAGGCAGATGTGGGACCAACAGGCCTTTCTACTCAGAAAAAGTGGAAACTTCGAGAGCCAGTGGCTAAGACCATTGTGAACTACAACCCATAGTGTCTGTCTTCTAAGTTACGATTTAAAAGTATCACTAAGCCAGGCATGGCGGTACACACCTGTAGTCTAAGCTACCAGAGGCTGAAGCAGGATGATCAACTGAGCTCATGAGTTCAAGACCAACCTGAGCAACACAGAGAAATCCTATCTCAAAAAAATAAATACCCCCACACTTGTCTGTGGACATGGCTCAAGTGGTAAAGTACCTGCCTAGCAAGTGTGAGGCCCTGAGTTCAAACCCCAGTACTGTATATGCGTATGTCTGTGTGTATACATATATATATATGTGTGTGTGTATATATGTACATATAAAACCCATAATGTGGGTAAATTGGTGATATGGTGGTCAAAAGACACAAAATTTCACTAAGAATAAATTCAAGGGATCCACTGCACACATAGCAGTGACTATAAGTAACAACAATGCATTATATACTGGAAAATTGTTAAAAGTAGATTTTTTATGATTTTATTAGAATATAATAATTGTATAGGGGATACACTGTGATATTTACTTGTGTTTAAAATAATATAATGCACTGTACAGTAAACTGTTGAATATTAGGGGAGCATGGTGATAGAGAATGAGTAGGTAATGGAAGGGAAGGGGTTAATTTGATTAAAGCATGATATGTATATATACACAGACCTGAAGTACAAAGGCAAAACCCCCTTAGACTATGAATATACACTTCATTTAAAATAAAAAAAAAAGAAAGGTGGGAGGGAAAAGTAGATTTTAAACGCTCTCACCACGAAAAGATAAATGTATGAAATAATGCATATGTTAAATAGCTTCATTTAGCCATTCTACAATGTATATATACATATATCAAAACACCATTTGTCTACCATAAGTAGATATAATTTACATTTATCAATTTTTAAAAATTAAATACCCCCATATTAATTCCATAATTGCAGGAGGCTGTAGATGTCTCCAACAGAAAATAAGCTACATGAAGATTTGAAGGTAATTCTCAAAAGTCAGAACATCCTCAATCATCACTAATTTGTCTTAGAGAAAAATCAGACCTGTCATCCATGAACATAAAGCTAATTGTTTTGAAACCCCCTAGTACTTTCCATCTATATCATTTCTTAGAATAATAATATCTATACACTTCTGGAAATAGAACTCTCCTTTGTCTTCAAGTATATAGAGGCCTTCCTCCTCCCAGGGGTTTATAAGTTCCTGTTCTCCCTTTACAAACAAACCATGTGCCCACTAAGGCTTCATTTCTGTCACCTGAAGAGACATCATCATTTTATGCTATCCTCTACCAACTATTGACGGCCTCAGACTTCCATAACTGGGCTAGAGGACCAGACTCCCATATGTCCCCATGGGCCAATGGTGGTACTGACCAGCAGTAACCAGCAGTGCCAGGCTGAGCTGGTGCAGCATGTCCCATCCCCCACCCCTAGCATGCTAGTTAATTGAAGGGATGATGATAATGACACAGACTTCAATTCACATGAAAAAATTCAAAAAAGATTCATGAGTGGAGCTAGTAAGAGACCAGATTCCATGGCAGGGCTATGCCCCACAGACAGGAAGCTTGGTTAGTGCTCTATATAATACTCTACTTCAGCATCTCCCTAATAGCATTCTTGCTATGTTTTTTACGCTTTTGTTTGTTCTTTAATCAGTGCAACATATGAAGCTACTAAAGAATAAGACCAATAATCAAGTGTTAAAATAGTGATTCAGATTCTAAGCACAGTAAGTGGTCAAAAAAGAGCTCTCTTGGCGAGCTGGTGGCTGCTTGAAACTGCTTCAATAACAGCTGTTAAGAACAGCTTTAAGGAACAGCTGTGCTGGAACAGCAAGAAGGACCCAAGATCAGAGCCCCATGATGCTCTTTGGTATAACATGATAGAATAAGATTTTTAAGTCCTCCCTCATATGGATGGCTATCTGTCTTACTTACTACCTACCTACTATAGAGTGAGTGTTTGTGTCCCCACAAAATTCATGTTGAAATCTTAACTCCCAATGTGATGGTATCTGGAGGTGGAGTGGGGCCTTTGGTATATTATTATGTCATCTAAGGCTCCACCTTCACAAATGGAATGAGAATAGTGACCCACATAAAAGAGACCTGAGAAAATTCCTTTGCCCCTTCTGCAATGTAAGGACACAGCAAGATGACACCCATGTCTGAACAAGGAAGCAGGTCTTCAGCAGATACTGAATCTTCAGAGCTTTGGTTTAGGACCTTCCAGACTCTAGAA